TTGATTTTTAGTCTAAGTCTTTTCATTAATTTGGCTGTAATTATGCTAACAGCAGCACCAGAATCAAGGATAGCTACCACTGGCTGTCCTTTAATGTTTACATGGCATCTCATTGCTACTGTTTTTCATTTGGATCCTAATTCTACATGGTTTGCTTCAGTAATAGGTGCATTACCTCTTTTCATGGTTTGGGCAAGGTTTTTACATTGGTTAGGATATTGCAATAATTGTCCATAGGTAGCTTAAGCTTGTCTATTCAAGAGGTCTTTGAAGATATCATAAGGTTCCAATTGGTCAATTATAAAAGAAAGTTTTTGATTTCTTTTCCTAAAAGGTTTAAGAACTTCAATTGGTTCATCAATCATGTCTTCTAATTTAGGTTCATCAGAAAATACAGTTCTGTTTCTTAATCTAATTTCTTTTTGAGATTCTGATTTTTTTTGATTTTCTCTTTGAGCTTCTTTTTGTACTTTTCGATTAGTACTATAAGATTTAGGACAAGGAGTGCAAGTAATATACACTTCATCTTCATCTGAATAATATTCTTCATCTTCTACAGCAGTATTAGTGATGTGAACGGCTAAGGCTAAGCCGCAAGCTGATCAGCTAAGCCAAGCTGATTATCAGCTTGGCTAAGGGTCTACTAATAAAGTATCAGCTCTAGAAATGGCTTGGCTAAAGATCTGAAGCTGAACATAGCCGAACATGGAGCCATGAGCCGATGGGGTCAATAGCACATGACAATTAGCCAATAGTAGATTATTTAATATCATGACTAAATTATGACATTTAAACTTTTTACATGAATTATGACGTTTAAACTTTTTACATGTAAAAAACATTATATGATCTACTTTTGGCCAACACTGCAGTCGGGCACATTACCAAAAATGGGCAATGTAGATCAGCCTTTTTATGGTATAGAAATGCAGATCAATTGATTTTTTTTGCTTTGGTTACATGAATCAGAAGCTGAGTTATACACTAATCAGCGAAATAAATTGTAAATTTTGAGCAGAAAAGAATAGTAAAACTTATAAATTTTTTTGAGTCATTATACATATTGAAATAAGAATTAATCCCAATAGAATCAATGTTGATTATGAAACTTTGAACATTCAACTTCATATCCATAAAATTATTTGTTATGGTTACCTATTGCAAAAAGCTACAAAATGTAACTGAATTTAGTGAAAAGCAGCTAATCAAATTTCAATGGAACGATCTAGAATCGATTTCTATATTTGGTAATATGCCTGACTGCACTAGATCATTCACACTTTCTTTCTAAGAAATTTTATTTTATTTATATATAATTAATAAACAGCAAGACCTTAAATAAATAAATACTATACATTAGTGTTAGATAATTTAGAATAAGTCAATCTAAGTAATAAAAAATAACAAAGTTCGCATGACGGTCCAATGATGCCTTTATTTAATTTTATTAAAAAAATATACATGTAAATTCTTGACTAATTCTTTTCATATTTAGCTACTTTTTTGTCTTATTTAGCACAAGTCAAGTTCTGCTTGTGCTACACATTATAAGTTATCTGCAAGAGTTCTTTATCTTGTCCAGGTTACTAATGATTAATCATTAATTTTGATCGTTGTATGGTAGCATTGTACCATCAACCAGTTCACTGAAAATCATCAACAAGTTTGAATTTTGTCTATTTATTTGAAATTATTTATATACTATCAACCGGTTTGCTTAGCAATTTGAATACAATTCACTCTTGTTATAGTGAAGAACAGTTTATATAAAAAAAACCCGCTTGATATAGCAAGTTTATCAATAAACTCTCGATATAGTGAAGAAAATCTCACAGCCTGATCACTTCACTATAACGAGAGTGATCTGTAATGAAAATAAGCTAACAATCAAGCTAACCATGGCTTTGGAGCTTTAACCATAGCTTTGGAGCAAAGCTACTTCAAGCTGAGAAATCAAGTTAATTCGGCTTAATTATTAGCTAATCTGTCTCTATATAGCTCAATAGTAGTTAATCATGAAATTTACATGAACAAGAATAAAAAAAAGTAAAGCTTTTTTTTTTAAAAAAAAAAAAAAAAAAAATCTTACAGTCATAGCCTCAAAAAATCCAATTTAAAGTGTTGAATATTTTTAATATAGATTTCATATAACCCATGATTAGTAAATATAAAAAGAGTTCAAAATATACCTGCCCAATTTTTTATAAAATTATCAACTTTTCTTCAAATATACTGTAATGGATAGTGATGATGATCTTTTTGAATTTGTCCCTGATAACAATACAGTTAAAAGTGTCACTAATACAAGCAATATTGCAAATATCACATCTAATATTTCTGTTTCAAAAAAATCTAGTAATAGACTTCCCTCTTCTGTTAGACCCTTTTTTTCACAAAAAACCATTGATAACAAGTCAGTACTTTGTAATATCTGTAAAAGTGAATTTAGCATAACTACGGCTACTGGTAACTTATATAAACACCTCAATTCTCGGCATTTAGGCTGGGAAGCAAACAAACCAATACCAAGTCAACAGCTTCTTATGTTTATATCCGAAGATACAATTTCAAACCAAATCCTTACACCAGCTCAAAAAACCAAATTTAGTATGTTAGTAGCTGAATGGATTGTATCAAATACTTTACCTTTTTCTGTTGTTTTAAATCAATCATTTGCTACTATGATCTGATATCTCAACGCTAATATAGACTTGCCTTCACAGGATGTTATTAAATCTATAATTCAAAAAGCCTTTGCCGTAATGCAAAAAGATATTCAACATATTTTTGAACAAATTTCTAGTAAAATTTCCATTACATTAGATATTTGGACCTCACGTGCTAATGTACCCTTTATTTGTATCACAACACATTGGATAGATAATAATTGGAATCTCAAAAATATCTTACTTGACATTTGTATGCTCCCTCATTCGCATACTGGTAAAGAAATCGATGCTAAATTGTGCTCTGTCTTTGCAGCTTTTAATATTTCTGACAAGATTCTTTGTGCCACTACCGATGGAGGCGCTAACGTGGTTTTGGCAATGCAATTGCTAAAGGATAAATTAATTTTAAAAAACTATAATTTTTACTTTCAACCTCATCACTGCTTGGCACACATATTGAATCTTATCATTACAACTAGGTTATTACCTATTAAATCATCAATTGAAAAAGTGCGCAATTTTGTCAACATTATTTCATCATCATCATCTATAACTCGGGATTTTAAAGAACTTGGTCAAACGGTTGGTGAAGGTGAATAGACTCATAAAATTCTACAGGATGTTTCAACTCGTTGGAACAGTACTTATCTTATGCTTTCAGCCTACATAACCATGCCTATGACTATTTCAGCTATAATTAGACGTAATAAAAATCTTGAAAAATTTAAACTTACTCCACAAGATGAAACTAATCTTCAAGTCACAACCCAGTTTCTAAAGCCATTTTATGAAACTACTAACATTCTTTCTGGTAGCATGTATACAACTTTAGGTATTTCGATTCTGCTAATCGACGATATCATTGAAAATGTTTTAGCATGCATTCAAGATCTAATGAGTCCAGAATTTCTCAAAATAGCTGCAATTCAAATGTCAGAAAAAATTCAAAAATATACTAACGAAATTTATGACAAAACAGCATTTATAGCTGCTATTTTTGATCCTCGGATTAAACTAGAATTAATGCCTACTGACATGAATAATGAAGCAAATCACACCATTTTTAATAATGTTTTTCGATCAGAATATGCTGACCTTATTTTAAATAACTCCAGTACCTCCCTTACCTCCTCTATCTCATCTACCTCAACCTCTTCTACAAATTTAAAAGTACCATTGAACTTAACATATACAGAGCAAATTGCTCAAAAAAGGCGAAAAGCAAGTACCCTTACCAATAAACTGGATGAACTTACTCAATATTTAAATGAGGCCATTTTATCTATGAACATTGATCCTTTGAACTGGTGGAAACTAAATCATACCCGTTTTCCATATTTGTCTCAAATGGCCAAGGATTACTTAGCTATTCAGTCGACATCAGTACCCTTTGAGCAAGTATTCTCCAATGCAGGTGATACAGTTAGAGTCAAATGTGCACACCTATTCGAAAAGAGTCTGCAAGCTCTTATGTGTGTTAATTCTTGGGTAAAACATGGAATTAAGTTTCATAAAAAATAATCACAAGTTATATGCATGTAAGTACGTACCTATATACAAAATTATTCAAATTTGCTCTCTCAATATTTAGCTAAAAAAAAAAAGCACTCTTTATTGTTAAAAATATAGATAGAATTTTTATTAAATATTTTTTAAGTTTATTACTGTTGCATAACAGTCAATAAATTGAAAACTTATCCTGTGTATCAAATTTTTATTGATTATAAATCTTTTATAAATTATATTTTAAAAAGCTAAGACATTATTTAATTACTTACTTTCGTATAAATCAAACATATCTTAGTAAGACTATGTTTAAGTGATTAATAAGTAGTGGTTTGAGTGATCAATAAGTAGTAGTTCATTATAGATTGTCGGCTAACTCTATCAAAAAGCCCTTACTTTTTGTTTGAGCTTAAGTTATTTAATAAATCCTCTATTTTACGCTTTATAAGATCACTTATAAGTAATTCATTTACAGTATTAAATAATAAGTTTAACAAGAAATTTGTAAAAAAAAAAAAATTCTTGTATAGAAAAGATAGAAAAGCAAGATTTTTGTGAAACCATATTACCATTAGACGGGTGCCCTTATGTCAAAGAAATTCTGAGCTGCTGGCTAAAAAAATATGGGTCATAGTATATCAAAAATTTACTATATATCTAATATTAACAATTGTGTCTTATAAGTAAAATTTTCATTCTGAAAACTTTTACTTAGAGGTCGGAAGTTAGTTATCATAGTAAAATTTTGTGTTATTTACGTTTTTTTACAATTTTTTATGTTTTTCACATTTGTTTTGTTACACAAGATCCCGTGATTTTATTGGATCTGGATATGGTTGGAAGTGATCTTTAGCGATCTTCAGCCCGGGATTTCCTTGACATAAGGGCATCCCCATCAGACAGCTCGGCTCGGCTTAAGGTTAATCAGCTTATAAATGGCTTGGCTCTGGTTGCTTAGCTGAAGGATTGGCTTGGCATAGTAAATGTTAGCCGTAAGCCAAGCTGAGCTGAGCCGTTCGCATCACTAAGCAGTATAATTAATTTTTCTATTTGTTTGTAGTTTTGTATTCATCTGATAACATTGTTCTTTAGTAGGCAATCTTTCTGCTATACAGTCCCTAGCGATGTGTCCATGTTCACTACATCTATAACAAATAATATTAGACCTTGAATTGTTAGTAAATCTTAAGTAGTTACTAGGTCTTGGATTATTTTAAATCTTGGATAGTTATTAGGTCTTGAATTATTAACAGGGTTTGGTTTTTGGTAAAATTGCCTAGGTTGGTTTGGACGATACTGGGTTTGTGGTTCAGTTTGAGCACTTAAAGCAGATGCAATAGAGGTGTAGTTTAATGACATCTGGTTTATTTGTTTGGTCAGTTGTTCTATTTCCTTTTCATATGTAGCAATATTAGGATTAATTAAGCCAGAGTCAGCATTAGTAGCGAAGTCAGTTCCTTGTTCATGGGTCCTGACAAGTTGAAGAAATCCATCTAAGTCTCTAGGGTTATGCATAAGAAGAATAGGTAAAGTTGCTAGATGTAATCCTTTCTTGAAATAGTATAACTTTTATGCATTTTGAAGAGGAATTCTAGTATCAACTCTTTTGATTAAACTTTTAAATCTATTGTAATAAGAGTCTACAGGTTCTTCTGGTCCTTGTTTTAAGATATTCAAGTCTCTAAGCTATTTATTTTGTCATTGTTGGGTACAGAAGCTATTTGTAAAAGCTGTTTCTACATGATTCCAAGTTGTTCCTACATTATTATAATTGTTAACAGTATTGGTCCATTCATCAGCATTATCTTTTAAAAAGGTAGCAAGAATATTTTTTTTTTTAGCTAAATTCCATTTGTTTGCTTTGGCAGCTTTATCAAAATCTTCAATCCAAGTAAGAGGGTCTTGAGTTCCATCT